AATCACATGAGGGGCACCTGGGTGGCTCAGTTTATTAACAGTCCAAGTCTTGGTTTCAGGTCAGGTGATAATCTCACAGTTCATGAGATCAAGCCCCATGTGAGACACCATGGAGCCTGCTTGGGATTCTCTCTTCCTCTTTCTCTGTCCCTTCCCTACTCATGCACACATTTTCTCTCTCTCTCTCTCTCTCAAAATACATAAACTTTAAAAAAAAAGTCCAAATTCTTTTTTTTTTTTTTAATGTTTCTTATTTATTTCTAGGAGAGAGAGAGAGAGACAGCGTGAGCAGGGGAGGGTCAGAGAGAGAGGGAGTCACAGACTGAAACAGGCTCCAGGCTCCGAGCCGGCAGTCAGCACAGAGCCTGATGCGGGGCTCGAACCCACGAACCGCGAGATCATGACCTAAGCGAAAGTCGGACGCTTAACCAACTAAGCCACCCAGGCGCCCCAAAAAAGTCCAAATTCTTAAAAAAATTAAATACAATCACACGTTTCTATAGTAGTCAGTAAAAGCAAAACCTATCCTAAATAATTTATATATATTATGTAATTTTAGTCCTTAAAATATTACTTGTAGTACATTATATACAAATGTTTACAAATTATACAAATATAATCCTTATTTTCATATAAGAAAATGGAGGCTCAGAGAAATTATTAACACGTCAGGATAACAGAGTCAGGATTTGACCTCAGGCAAACTGTGCCAGATTAAAAACTTCTTTTAGCAGAATCTGAGACAAAGACTTATTGGGATTATTTTGAGATGCTGGGGGGTGGGGCACAAACACTCGCAGAACAGAAAAGGAGGAAAGCCAATATTGTACATTATTGGGTTAGTTACCTATAGAGATGGCAAATGTTGGTATGTCAATGCCTTCTGATATGCTTTCCCCTGGGACAAAAAATAAGGTATTTATATATTATCTTCCTGTCCTCACTGGTCAAGGATGGTGCCAAGGGTGTTAATGCCCTGAAGTTTGGGTGGCTCATGAATGAGTCTCAATAATCAGCTATACCTCACAAATTGCAGAGGTACATGAAATAGGCCCTAGAGAACACAAAGTAACATTGCATTTAAGCAAAGCAAAGCTAAAGTCTTTGATAATTAGTTGACTTTACAGGGGCTGATGTAGACAGTAGGGTCTAGAAGTGGGGCATAGGCAGAAACAAGTATCTATATTTACACTTAGAATATAAAAAGGTGATCTAAAATGGTAGCTATCTTGTCAATATATTTCCACAAGATTAATTTAAAAAAAGATCCATGATAAAAAATGTGTTGAATGCATAAATCATTTATTAAGTGTAAATAAAGGTACACAGTTGTTTTCTCAGTCTTTTCTGAATCTCTTATTCAATATGCAAATGATTTGTAGCTAAAATTAATCATGAAATATATTACCTTCCTTATGAGAACGATAAATCAAAGAGAAGTGACTCCTTCATATCAGAAAGAAATGAAAAAAAAAAGTATGTATTACCTTCAGGCTAAGTGGTTCCATTCTAGAAATATAGTAGGCCATATCTTATCTCCAGTTAGAGATAAGAAATATTTTAATATCCAAAGGCTGATTGTTGTTTATTAGTTTCCAAAATTTATACTGATAAAGGTTATCATTAAATAAAAGAAAATTTAATGCTTCCTCTTCTTCTATATAGAAGGAGGACCTTTAGAGGACAAGGTATAGAGACTAATGAGACACACATACAAGGTAACTCCTTTGCACAGTATCCAGAGATGTATTTGATGTAGTAGAAATATACTCTATCAAAGAAAAGAATCAAGGCTTCATGTCCTTTAGTTTGCACTAAGATGTTCCAAGGAACAGACCTGAATAGACCTTAGCAATAGCTAAGGTTTACAACCTTCTTTAATAACTCAAACTAGTTCCACAGTAGATTACAAGTGCCTTCAACCACAAAGGACATAAAAATTTCTCTGGGTGCAAACAGCCTGCTTTAGAAAAGGCAGGATTCTTTTAACTGTAGTTTAGCTTACTCTCAAGAAAATCTACTGAATCAGAGGAGAATGAGAATACAGTATCATGCTTTTTTCCTAATCAAAATGGATCTCTAGAAGGTTAGTGTCCATGCTTCAAAAATGCTATCTTTCTGCTTGATTAATATTGCCTGGAAAATAACTGGTTGAAGAAATTGAAAAATATCAAAAAGATAAAGCCATTCAGGAAAACCACTTTTGTCTTAAAAAGGACAACTAACAATATATGAGGATGGTTTCATTAAATATATGAATAACATGCTCAAAGCCCCAGCTGTGGTCTTGTACTGCATGCCAAAAGGCATTCAAAGGTATCAAATGACATAATGTCTGTAATATTAGTGTAATCTGGACTTAGTCCTAGCTACATTCATTGGAGAAAGTGTTCAACATACATTCCACATCTTCTCCCGCCTCCCAATTATCTTCTTATATCATTCATTCAAAGAGGATATATTCCTGTGAAAATTAGTTTCCAACAATAAAATATTCTTTGCATTTTTTCAGATGTCACATTGAGAAACTTCACTACAAAGGAAAAATAAAAAGACCTTAGAAGTTTCCTGTTTTGTCTTCAAATTAAGCCTTGTTAGAACCATCGCTCCAAGTGTATGTCATTAACAATAAATGGAATTGATAATAAGGCCCAGTTGTGTAATGAGGCTCCTGCTTAGGGTTTATTAGCTTTTCAATAGATTTGTTTTATATTTAGATGCAATTTTGAAATTTTCTGCTTTAAAGAGCACAACTTTACCAATAAATAGCGAGTTTGAATTTTTAAATGCAAATTACATATCTTTAATTGTAGTAAATGAATTCATGGAAGTGCCATAGTTTTACGTTTGCTTAAACAGTTTAAAAAATATAATATTTGCAAAAACATTTTTAATGAGAAATGTTTATCCATTAAAAAGTGGAGAGAATAGTACAATACTGCCCTATGTAGCTATCATCCAGGCTCAAAAATGGCCAATTCATACCCAATCTTTTAAAAGTGATAATCCACTAACTTCTATATTTATTGAAACAACACATGTTATCCATAAATATTATAGCTCATAATATAATTTAAATGTCATCTCTTTTGAGGCTTTTTGAAATCCTAACAGAATTCATAGAATTTTTCAGAAGTATAGGAGAGCATATACATAATTTAATAACTAAAGGTTTATGATGGCAATACAGGAAGACTCTGAACTTACCCCGTCCATGAACACACCAAATGGAAACCAACATGTAGAGCAATTCCTACTGAAGAAGAGCTGAGGATTTACTGAATATCATCTGCACCACAAAATGTAAAGACAACATGGGAAGAGCAAGAGATTGAGACAGTAATCACAGGAACCCAGGCTCCAGACAATGCAACTGAATTGATGGGAGACTAGTACTGAGGGAGTAGGAGCTGATTCCCTTGCCCTGGGGCATAGCAAGGGTGGGGTGGGGAGAAGTCATTTAAAAAGGCAACTGGAATTTAAAGGAACCAGCCCTTGAATGTCTGCAATCCTGCAGAATGCTCTGTGGTCGGAGGGGATGGTGAGCCACATTATTTATGTTCCCCCAGGACACCTAGGATAATTTCTGGTAGATAGCAAAAGATTAAACTATTAAATACAACAATTTTGGAACTATAAGAGTATCATTTAATGTATTACTAATACAACATGTCAAACTACCTACATAATGAAAGAAAATCATATTTGGTTGATTATCCAACAGAATTCACAGATGTAAGTTACTTTGACAAAGAGGAGAGATCATATTTATATTACAGTTTCTGCTCAAGATATCATATTAAAGTAACATGACAAGACTTCCTTGTTAATTCTAACACACAAATACTGTGTTAAATATATTGGCCATGGGCATATAATTTAAGGTCTAGGCACCTATTTTAGGAGTGAACTTAAGGCAGTCATATCTGTTTATGATAAAGAACAGATTGATAAATAACAAAGTTTGATAAATAACAGAATTTGTTTGTTTCTTTGCTTACATATCTGAGAGCCTGGACAAAAGAGAAACCCAGACATAGCTGTCCCCTCAAAAACAGGAGCAAAACTTTGCCCCTACTGGGATAGACACAGACTGGCCACTGCCAAAAGCAAGTTTCCAGTCCCAAATCTTGACTGCAATTAAAAAAAGTAGTTTTGAAAGTATTAAGGGTTATTAGAAAACTAGGCATTAAGCATGCATAAGTATTGGACGCAAATCAAATCAACCATATAGAAAATTAAACCCAAACTGAGAAACAAATATAAATCTGGTCTTTAACCAGTCCATGTGACCCTGGCTAAAACAAACTCAAAACATTCTATAAGCACAGCTTAGTTAGCTTAATTTAAGACACAGGTGTAACTGAGATTTGTCACAGAGGAAAACACCTACTGATTTCACATCCAAAGGCAAAATTTACAAAACACAGGAGAATCCACTAATATGAGATAACACAAACAAGAAGAGAAGATGATGAGCATTTCATGATAAAAACTTGTAAAGAAAAAGAGGGCACTTGAGTGGTTCAGTCTGTTAAGCAGATTATTTTGGCTCAGGTCATGATTGGTTCGTGAGTTCGAGTCCCTCATGGGGTGAACCTGAACCCCACTTGTGGTGAAAGTGAGCCCTGCTTCTCTCCCCTCTCCCCTTGCTCACTTGTGCCCTCTCTGTTTCAATTTTTTTTTTAATGTAAAAAAAAAAGAATCCTCAAAATAACAAGGGGATTTTAAAGGAAATGCCAAGAATAAAACGATAATAGTATATTTGGAAAATGCAGTCTTTAAAAAAAACACTAGATAGACTGGAAAGATGATGAGGCTGATTCACCACACTGGAAGATGAAGTTTCAAAAAAAAAAATAAATTAAAACATGTCATAAAGGAAGAAAAAAGGGTGATAATTTAGACATTTAAAAAATTAGGATTAGGGAGACCTGTGACTATCACCTCCAACTACAATGGAGTACCCGGGCCTCTTACAATAAAGAATGAGACAATAGGTGCTCTCTTTGGCAGCACATATAATAATATTGGAATGATACAGAGAAGATTAGCACAGCCCCTGCACGAGAATGACATACAAATTGCAAATTGGTGAAACATTCCATAAAAAAAATGAGAAAATAGGACAAAATATATAATACATATGTTTTCAGACACTGGAAAACAGGCAGCACAGGATTGTGATTCCTAAGAGAAGGAAGATAACTGAAGTATTATAATCAGTCCAGCTTTATTCTGGAGGCACCTTCCATACTGTGATGCAGGAAGAACTAAGAGAAACAAACAATAGCAGCCTTCAGATGTTCTGTCAGACACATAAAGAGGGATGGAATTTGAGGAGTGAAGTGCAAGATAGAAGACAGCTAAGCCCAAAAGTTCCATAAATTTTCATAAAGCTTCCTTTGACTCTGTTGTTAAACACAAAGCATGGGATGGCTAAAATAAGATTCCTAGGGTCTAGGTAGAGAACCAGTACCGGGTTGGGTGGGAAGAGAGTGGTACTAAATAATTCCTAAATTATCACATGTTCGGATAAGAGATGTTTAAATTCTGATCATGTAGAGCATAAATAAATTACTAATACCTGGAGCATTCAAAAGAGACCTCTTAAGGTTTTTGATTTAATCTGCAAATAAACTAGTCAAAAACTAACTTCAAGAGTCTTCAAAGGGCAAAAAAGAAAAAAGAAGACTCAAAAATAAAACTTACAATGTCCAATACCTAACCAAAAACTTATTGAGTACACAAAGAAGTAAAATAAATGTGACTCATAACCCAGAGAATACTCAGTTAATAAAAACTGATACAGATGACAGAAATGATGAAATATGACACTAGGCATTAAAACAGCTATAAACATGCTCAGGAATAGGAAAACCACCAGACATTCTCCATACATACACAGAAGGAGAAAAGAACACATAGGAGACACCTGTCCATAGCAATTCTGAAATCCAACTGGAAAGATGTGCCAGTTCCTTCACGTGTTATTCTCTGTGACTCTTGGTTATGCATTTTTGGCTATCTGTTGCCCTCTGAATTATTATTTTTCGTAGTGTTTGCAACTGTGTAGTTTTCTCAAGTTGCCTTCTTCCTATAGTAATTTGAAGATCCCAGGGCTTCTTTTGATTTTTCACTTTCTTTATCACTTTGTCACTTTCAATCAGGTTAGTCTAATTCTTTTTAAAACTTTGTGGATTCCTTATGTTTTGATTTACAATCCACACTATTAGTCAAATGGCACATATACAAGTATATGCAAATATGCTGTTCTCTATTTTGGGCTCTCTGAAAGTCTGCTCTGGGACATCTGACACTTAGAATCTTAAAAGTACCTGTTGTGCAACACATGGGATCATTAAAGCATTTCTTAAATCATTTGTTTCTCAATGATTTAAGAAGAAGAAATTTATTTCAAAACTGTTTATAAGACATTTTAAATCTTCATGAGGACCTAGTAAAGGATCTTACAAGCATAAACTGCATTTAAAGATTTCCCCTAAAGCACTTATTAGTGCGAGAATATTTTGTATTTTTGTTGTTGTCACTGGTATTGTTGTTCGTTTTTCTAGCTAGAGAGATAGGGATTGAGAAAGTTTGCTTTGTATTATTTAATTAATTTTTAATGTTTATTTATTTTTGAGAGAGAGAGAGAGAGAGAGAGAGAAAGCGTGAGCAGGGGAGGAACAGAAAGAGGGAGACACAGAATCCAATGCAGGCTCCAGGCTCTGAGCTGTCAGCACAGAGCCTGGCTTGGGGCTAAAACTCATGGACCATGAGATCATCACCAGAGCTGAAGTCAGATGTTCAATCAACTGAGCAACCCAAGAGCCCCTAGAAGCTTTATTTTCAAATAGAGAAGATAATGGCTCTCTTTTATTTAAAAGTTTATTCTTTAGCTCATCTCTTTCCTCTTGAATTTTATCATGTGGAATGAGAAGAAGCTAGGTAGAATTTTTGATATTCTGCCTGGAAGTCTCTTTAACCAAATCAAGTTTCCATGCGCTTTCTAATTTCTACATTTCCTGCAGTTGACAGTGTTGTTGAATTTCTACTAATATACACTTACAACACCTCTAATATTCTTTCTGTATTCCTTTAAGCTCTCCCTGAAAATCTTCTTCAGGTTCATTAGGTATGCACTAACACTCTCCTTGAGATCTTTATTCTTTCCTTTTGAGTCTCACAGGGCCATTCCTGGCTTTTCCTTCTTCTTGAACCCAGAACTTATGCCAAAATTTTTAGGTATTTAAGACACCATTCCACTTCCAGGCGTAACTTTTTTGTTGTGCTTAGCTATTAGAGTATAACAAACCACCTCAAAATTCAGTCACGTAAAACAACATTTTATTATCTTTCACAATTTCTCTGAATCAATAATCCAGAAAGATTTTGGTCTCAGTCATTCATTTGCTTGCAGTAAGATGGTTTATGAAACAAAACAGTATACAGAAAGTGAAGCAGCTTAGGGAATGGCTGGCCCTCACTCTATCTGCCTGTAGTCCTCTCCTACGTGTGTTCACTATTGTACTATAATATGGAAATAAATAAAATATAAGTCCTTTAGAAAGTAGGTGGTATTTATTTGCAGACAACATGATTATATAGGAAATTTAATGAATCTACCAAAAAATCCCATAAAAATTCAATGTTGGAACCAACCTGACAATAAAGTATATAAATAAATAAATAAATAAATAGATAGATAGATAGATGATAGATAAAACATATAAATAAAGGGATAAACTAAAATTTAAATAAATCAATTTTGAGAAATTATATTATTGAGATATCAGTTCTCCCCAAACTTACCTATATAGATTTAATGCAATATATAAAATTCTAGGAGGCATGTTTTAGGGATTGCCAAGCTACTGCTAAAGTTTATATGGAAAAAGTGGAAAAAAAATTGTAATAGCTTAAACAAATTTCACAAAGTTGGAGGTCTTATATCAGCTGATTTCAAAAGCTTAATGTAAAGTTATAAAATCATAAGATATAAGGTAGAAAAACAGTACAGAAAACATAGTAAAAAAGCAGACATAATCAATTAATTTTTAATACACATGTCAAAATAATTTATGGGTATAAGACAGTCTTTCAACAAAGGGTACAGTACCAACTGGATGCTTGACACAAAAGTGAAATGGATCATATATACCCCTGTAAAAGTATAAAACTTCTTGATAAAAGACATAGGAAAAAAAACTATTCATCAATGGGCTAAGATGTCTTAGATAGGAAGCAAAGTACACTAAATATAATAAAAAAAAGAACATAGGAATAATTTTACTAAACAAAATAACAGATTTAATCCCATAGTATATTAAATGGACAAATGATTATGTGTAGCAAGGATTCATCCCAAGAATTAAAGTTTGGTTTAATGTTCTAATTCTACCAATTAATTCTCTGTATTAATAAATTAAGCAACACAAATTATATCTCAATGCAGGGAAAAACAATATTTACAGCATTCAACATCTACTGTAAAAAAATCATCAGGAAACTGGAATAGAAGAAAACTTTCTCATTATGAATGTGGGAATATAAAATTTTATTTAATGGTGAAAGACTGAATACTTTCTTGTCAAGATTTGGAATAAGTCAATAAGGACTGGAAATAACCTCAAATCACTGAAAATGCATTCCTGACTAAGGTGCACTTGGGTACCAGGTATTCATTGCTCTGGTGAGTGTATTCTTTTCTAACCGGATCACAAAACAAAAACAGTATGCATTCAGACAGAATGACAAAACACATACATTTGTAGCTTTGCCCAGAGCTATGTTAATTTTCATGCCCTTTGTCATAATATAACATAAAAAGATCTGGGCCATCTAGATATAGCAGAGGACAGCATATTGACCCATCTTTTGACCACATTCATGATGATTGGATAGGATAAGAAAGAAGAGAAAGGAAAATACACATACTTAAAACATGAACATAAATTTCTATTCTATAATAAAAAATTTTTTTGGTGTTTATTATTTGAGAGAGAGAGAGAGACTGAGCGTGATCAGGGGAGGGTCAGAGAGAGAGGGAGACACAGAATCTGAAGTAGGCTTCAGGCTCTGAGCTGTCAGCACAGAGCCAACCCAATGTGGGGCTCAAACCCACAAACCTTGAGATCATAACCTGAGCTGCAGTCAGATGCTTAATAGACTGAGCCACCCTAGTGCCCCAACAATAATTTTCATAGCAGATGTATTCACAATAGTTAAAATCTGTGAACCTAAATTTATATCTATCCAAAATGGGTAAAAATATAAATATTCAATGTAGTAATTCTCAGCATAAAAAGGAATAAACTACTGATGCACACAATATGAATGAATCTCAAAAAAAAAAAAAAAACTAATGCTAGGGTTTCTGGGTGGCTCTCAGTTAAGTGTCCAACTCTTGATTTTGGCTCGGGTCATGATCTCACTGTCTTGAGATGGAGCTCAGAGGCCTTGGACTCTGCACTGGGTGTGGAGCCTACTTGATAGTCTACCTCTCATCCTCCCTCTGCACCTCCCCTACTTATTCTCTTTCTCTCTCTGAAACAATAAACACACACACACACACACTCACACACACACACATACACACACACACACGCAAATGGAAGGAAGCCAGACTGAAGAGTACACAGTATATTATCCAGTTTATATGATGTTCTACAACAAGCAAAGCTACTTGACGGTAAATGGAACTGGAACTGTGGTTGCCTGGGGACAGGGAGTATAAATTGAATGGGAAGTGACATAAAGGAGCTTGCTGATGACAATGCTCTCCACTTACACAGATGTTTGGGATATATTAGCGTATGGAAGTGGGAAAACTCATGAAACTTTACATTTAACATATGTACATTTTGCTTTATGCAAATTGCACCTACCTCATTAAGAGGTGTCATCACTAAGTGTTATTTTCCAGAATATGTCAAGTGCAGTATAACTATGAACTTCTGAAAAGTGAGATACAAATTGTATAATAAATTATTCTTCTTCCTTCGCATAACATATTAGAATATTGACTTTTTAAAATACACTATTAAAGACAAATAATTCCTTTGAAGATAAATACAGTATAAAAACACTTTATCTTAACAAGAT